TCCGGTTCATTAACTGTCAATTTCTTCATCGGGTACGTGTTAGTAATCATCTGACCAGATTGAACTATACTTGCATGTACCGGACATAAACTCTATTGCTCGAATGTTTGTGCGTGTTTTTTTCTTTCTCTCCTTTGTGTGTGTGTATGAGTGTGTCTGCGAGCGTGTGTGTGTGAGTGTCTGCGTGCGTGTGTGTGTGTGTATATGTGCGTTTTCTCTTTCTTTCTTTTCTTTTGTGTGTGTGTGTGTGTACATATATGCATATATATATACATACATAATATATATATATATATTATTATATATATTATATATATATATATATATAGAGAGAGAGAGAGAGAGAGAGAGAGAGAGAGAGAGAGAGAGAGAGGCTTTATCTGCAGCGCCAAATTAATTTCAAGTCTGTGGGCTTAGCATCGGCGTTGTCGGGCGTACGAAAATCCTTTGGGTCAAAGTATCGTACGGCTTAAACACACGGAGTGTCCAGTGGCACGACGGTTTCTTAATGAGTATATGGAAATTGAGATTTGAATGGCTTACGCCTCATGTCATATCACATGCTAGAATTATGGGTTATAACTTAATTGTCCCAAAAGCAACTAATTTACTGCATTTGCATAAGTTGATTGACTTCCACATTCCTACCAAGGGATCATTACAAAATACAAAGAAATTAGAAGACTGTCCAAAATGGAAACACATAAAGAGTAGTTGCTGTTCTATGTTTCATAGTAGAACAACTACGCAAACTGCTTTGATGAGATTCTTGGCTTCCTCGTCTACAGCATTACTCTTTACTCTTTTTTAAATCAAACAGGAGTTGTCTATCTGCAATCAACTGATGACTGGAGATTCCGTTCCTTTCAAGACCATTTTTGGTATGCAGTAGACTCACCAGACTAGTACTTTTCAAACTACGTCTGATATCAGTTTTAATTCTTCGTAGATACCTAAAGAGCCATTCTGCAGAGGCGTTGGAGTGCGGTAGGGATAATGTACACGCAACTACTTTTGTAAGATGGGGGGGGGGGGGTTGGCTCTCCTGTCTGATTTTTCAACAACAGTTTTTTTTTTCCAGAACTCGGCAGCATCTTTCTCCCCCTTAAACTGGCAGTCTAAACTTAACTGTCTCCTGTCTTCATCAACTACACTTGTCCTTTACGTCAAAATACGTTTGCGGTGCAGAGCATACTGGCCATTACTGGGCTTGTTTTCAGAATCATAAATATTATTAAATTGTGGCTGTTAAGTCGGAATTACGTTAGAATTACCTTAAAAATTGCAATACCTTAAACGTCACCTTAAAAGTACTTGAATTACCCAAAACTAAGGTAATTACCTTGAAAGTGAGAGCCCTGATTATATTCTATATTATGTATGATAGTTTTGTATATTTTCATATTATTTTTTTTACTTTAGCAGGACAATCTAGATAAAATGTTTTTTTTTTCAATATTACCTACCTATATTTCTTAGTCATAGTCATAGCCAAAGGATATTTTATGTATCACATGACATATCTCCATAAAACATTGGAACTGAAAAGAAAACATCTCTGTATATATGTATGTATATATGTATGTATGTATATATATTATATATATATATATATATATATATATATATATATATTATATATATCATATATATATATATTGTATACATATATATATGTATACACACACACACACACACACACACACACACACACACACACACACACACCACACACACACACATATATATATATATATATATATAATATATATATATATATATATATATATATTATTTGTATGTATGTATGTATATACGTGTGTATGAGCATATATATATATATATATATATATATATATATATATATATATATATATATATATCTATATATACGTATGTATGTATGTATGTGTATATATAATATATATATATACACATATATCTATCTATCTATCTATACACACACACACACACACACACACACACACACACACACACAGCACACATATATATATATATATATATATATATATATATATATATATATATATATATATATATATATATACATGTATAAACCTGTATGCACACGCGCGCGTGTAAATATACTTAGTGTAGCACTTGGTGCAATAATATCCTCAAAACATCACCACCGTTACCGAATAAAGCACCATACAGCGCTAATGTTAACTTCCCTTTTCTTCCATTTCCTAATCAGGCAGAGGTGCTTCGATCGCTCTCCAGCCAGGTGCAGTTGTTTATATATGACTCCGCCCCCCAAAATTAGGGGCAGAGTCATAGGAAAGTGTAGCTAGGCATTTGTCGGTGGAAATGAGTACTTTGATTACCCTCTCAATTCCTCGGGTTGCTTCGTGGTGGGCGCAGGGGTCGAGAGGGATTTGGCATCAACACTCTCCAAGAGACCTATTCCGAGGAGTTGCGGGCGGCCGCTTCCGCCTTGTGAATGGTGGTTAATGGTTGAAACAATAAATGAGCTAGACGTCTAAGTTTACGTAGACCTATGGATTGTAGCGAAAAGGGTAAAAAGGAATAACGAGATAAAGAGTATTAAATATACTGTTATAGGACAGTATGATAGGGAAAGGGGTAAAAGAGAGGTAAACGAGACTAGTAAATCCTTCGTCCTCTTGAACCTTGCAGCTTCGACTTCTTCACTTTTCGACACTTTTTCTTTTCTATGTCATGTTTGTCGTATTGTTCTTTTATTTATCTTCGAGGTATCCCTGTTATGTGTAGATTTTATAAGAAACCAATTAATAAATCAATATATTGTCCATTAATACTTCCTTCTGAACTTAAATGGACATCGCCATCCCGGCAAAGTTGTTTGGCATCAACTAATTTAGGATATGACAACAAGCGAAGTATTAAGTATTCAAAAGAAATAAAAATCAGTAATGTCGAGCACACTACTGATATTTCACAGATTCCTATTAGTATGGTGTAATATGAGTATGGTTAGTGTGGTTTTGCGGGTTCGCTGACTGGTCTGGTGGTTCTAGATGGATTTTTATTGTATATGTATTATCATACACTTTCAACTCCCCATCTTTTAATAAAAACAGTGCATTAAGGTATACATCTGCCATGTACTTAAGTCAACCCATACTAAAATACCACAGAATCGAGATAAAAGGTTTGATTTTGCAATTGACACCCGGTAGTGAAAGAGAGAGGTCAAATACGGAGTAATATTCGAAGAATATAAAACTATTATTGTAATATATATATATATATATATATATATATATATATATATATATATATATATATATATATATATATATGTATTATTGTTTAAAAAAATACTGACCCTGGAAGTTTGGAAGGAAAATGCAAGAAACTGGAGATGAAAAAATGCTGGAATACAGCTTGCATGTAATCTTAATACACCTTTCACTGCATAGAAAATTATCAATCAAAATCTTTTACACAACAATACTCATGTGCAGTCTGACCAATCCCACGAAAGTAAAGTAATATCTGGACCTAAATTTGTTGACCTTGAGAAGCATGGCAAAGGAGTATCAAGGTCGGTTAGCACGTGTTTAAGGGGCGCCGGGTCAAAGAAAATTACACAATAGTTGAAAAAAATATGTAGGTCGTGTTCGGGATGCCAGATTGTAAGGACTATGATGTCAGTCTCATACCGTAACGGTGAGTGTAAGATTATTTATTTAGCAATATAGTGTGTGATAAAAGTTTCGTTCTTGCATCATTTTGTTAATGATTATTGCAACTTACAAAGCAATGTAATACATAAGCTTATTTACTTCGTTTCATATCAACATTATATACTGCATACTATATTTGTTTTATAAAATCACTTGAGTGACATTGGTCAGTGGTTGCATAAGTACTTCTCTTATCAATGATGCAAGCACCCGAACGCAGATATTCTCCCACCTTGTAAAATACTACAGTTTAATCTGTTCTCTCATCACCTGATCTTTATTGTGAGGAAACCACAATAGGTCTGCAGTCACGGTACACACCTTTCCTGATTTATCTTTGATATCTTACCATATTTTGATCAGGGAGCTACTATTTTTGTATAATTGTTACACGGGCACTTTAAACCGACTTATTGTACAATAAATGACATAACATGTTTTCCATGACTGGAAGCGGTTAATTTTTCTTACATTGTAATAGTTGATAGTTTGTATATGTGCTTCCTTGTATTCACTATTTTTTGTTAATTTTATTATCGCATTTTTTCCTGTGGACTTGTGTATGAAAACGTCAAATACTGTATTTCTTCGATAAGTAATGCAATGCATCGAATTATGTACCCTTTCTTTACAAATAATATCTTCAATAATTTCTTCTTTTAAAAAGCTGAACTGCCATAAATATCAAACAGTCTTTTTAGCATTGTTCTGAGCCATCTCTTTGACACAAATGTTCAAAATCTAAATAAGTTCCTATCAGAGTTATAAAATACTTGATATTTTTCAAGGGCTGAGTCTCCAATAATGCTCCACATATTTAACCCAATGTCCCCAGGAAAATGTGTTGTATTGTTTTGTGAAATGTCTCTACACATACGCGGCTCTGCCAGTTCATGAGTCAATTAGTAGACCTTGTGACCTCAACTGATTTAACCAATTTCATCTTTTGTTGAGTTGAAGGGAGAAACACTTCTTTTTACTAATGCTATCAATATTGATAGTTATTTTTATCGTAAACTTCATAATTACTATAGTGTTATTGACATTACTAAATGCAGTATAAAACACTGGAAAATATTATCGAAAATCAAGGAAAAGAGTAAACGAGTGAGACAGGTAGTTCTCATAATTGGCTCACTGGTGACAGAGTACTTGTGGAGCCATTTGTGTAAAAACAAATACTAAATTAAACACATAGTGAGCATGGCATACATGCACATGCCATTCCCGGCGGCATGTGGTTAACAAACTAGGTGCCCTTGAAGATCTGCAACAGTATACTGAGAGGACAAATAGGGACCCACAAAGTAGACACTGAGTTTTATTAAAACCAATGTACACAAGACTAAAACTTTTTAGACCTTTTGAACAGTTAAACATATTTTACACTGTTAGAATTTTGGGTAATTTAGTCTTTCTTAAGTAATTCAAATTTGCGAGTTAACCCAGAAATACGTATAAATATATTTCTCACCCCATTTTACTAAAAGAATCTATTTAATGATTACAGTAACCTCTGAACAAAGTAAAGTATCATACTCATTAGATCTACGCAGACTGATAATCCTTAATATCTACATACTGCGCTTACCTTTTCTTTCTATGAACAGATTGGAAAGTTTGCTTTTCTTGTTTAATAAACCAACAAAAAAAGGCTTATTTTCATTTTATTAAATAATTGTACAGTGTTACCATACAGACCCTTAATATTTGCTCCTATATTCTACAAGATCATTTTTAACAATTATTACAATTATTTGTGATTTGCACATTTTAAAACTTAATACCAAGTAGCTGCCTGCAATGTGGCCACAATCTCCAGACTTTTACATTGTCTTAAAACTTTGGTTTTAGCATTGCAGAAGGATATATATTCATATATTTTCTATGAACCTATACGACATTTGTTTTCTAATAAATTACTAAACTATAAAAAGTAAAAGTTTTGTTAGGCACTTTTAAGTGAAGACTGATAATGATAAATGCAAAAGGCACTACAATGGAAGGAAATACGGCAATGATTTAGATTTATCATTTAAAAAACGGAGCACACTTTCTTACTTGGTGTATGAAGACTTTTTTTTTTTGGTAAAATTTAACAGATTAGTAAAGCTTTCAACAGGTTCCAACTTGATAAATGTGGAACTCCATAAAATAAAAGTTTTAAAGTCATTAAAATAAAAGGGCATAACCCTACAAAGATTTAGTATGTGATGAAACTATATAAGAAGAATTAAGAGGTGACAGCACCAACTATGAACTATGTACACATTTAATACACAATATTTTGAAAGAAACATTCACTAAAAATTGGCACATTAACACTGGATTATCCAGCAAGTCTATACTACCAATACTATTATTGTTACAGTTACATACTCAAAGAAGCATATAACTACAAGCATCATATTAATAACAAAAGTAAAAAAAAAAAAAAAAAAAAAAAGTAATAATAATGATAAAATAAAGAATATGAAAATAATAGATACAAAGAGAACCTAAATTAAAATGCATTGTGAACACATCTTAAAATAAAGAGCTATTGATTGTTCAATATAGTTTGCTGACAAGACTACTACCAACCATCTTCATTACTCTAATTCAGATTACACCTCTCAGCAGAGATTCAAGCCTAGCGATGAGATCATAGCTCAGTGGCTCTTTACTTGCCACCACCGTACATGGGGTTCTTGAACGTGGATGTGGCCTGCTTGTAGATGGGATTCTCGCCCTGTCAGAGAAAGGAAAGAGGTGAATGGGTGGGTTATTGTGGTTGAAGAGAAAAACAGAGAAATAGAAAAAGAAGGAAAAACAAGAAAACAATTGAGTGAATAAGGATATTTCAAACTTGGGTCTATTCATCCTTTGTTCTATGTCAGAAATAAGGTGGATGATTCCTCTACTTACAGTATCCCACTTGGCCATCATGCGTTCCTTCTCGAAGCGCGCAAACTCTCTTCTGTCATGGATAGTTGTCAGAACCTTCCACATTATTAGCAACGCCAATCCGACAGCAACAATAGCTCCAATGACACCCAATACAATTCCTGTTGTAAGGATGTAAAACATTGTATTTAGTGAATAAAATACAAAAGTAAGAGTAAAATGCTATCAACTAATGGGAATAATTTATGATAATATTTACTATCCAGTCTGTATATTTGCTGCCCCAGAATTTCAATAGATCTATCAAAAATCTTGATAAATGTATCTTAAACACATTATGCAATGCTACAAAATAAACAAAAAAATATCCTTAGCATGTAGTCATCCCTCAAAAGCATAAGAAAAGAAAACCTACCAAGGATGTCTAACTTTGGAGGGCATTCCAGTGTCTGCTGCACACGTACGATTGGTTCCTTATTCTCATCATATCCATAAACAAAGGTGAAGCGGCAATCGTTCTCGTCAAAGAAGGTGCACAGACGCTCTCCTTCGTTTTCAACTGGAAGTAGGGATTGATCAGAATGTAAGCATCACAGTATAAGATATTTCTTAACTAAGGGTAAAACATTTAAACCAAACTAAACTAAGCTTAAACAAAAAGTTATAAAACTAATCAACTTTTTAAATGAGTACAACTAATACTAGTATTGTTAACTAGCCTTACAATTATGCTATACATGAGAGTATACATGGTAGGTTTACATGTATATGTATAAAAAAAAAAGTACTGCCACCAAAGACAAAAACATTAATAAAAAAACATATTTGTACTTCCTTGTTTTGTCATTAATGAAAAAACATTGATATATCTAATCAGTGTCAAAAGAAAAGAAGCCCTTTTAAAAACTGAAACTATGAACTCCTCTATCTATCCTTTCTAAACATGTAAGTGATGTAACTACAAAAATATCACGCACTTGTTCAAGAACAAACTCCAAGCACTACTTAAAATGCAATCTGTCTCTATATCCATCAATGTCTATTACTTTTTACAAAAAAATGAATCACAGACCAATCAAGTGTGTATTCAAAAGTGCTTTGTGTGAGCACACAGTCAAAATACATCAAACAAACTAGATAAATCCTTCGTGAGTAAATTTTGAACTACTTATTGCCACTTCATGTATATATGCTTTGTATACGCACATAAATTATATATTGTATATGTAATGCATTTATAAATGTGCAAATACAAATAAATACATACATAATGTTACATATATATTTTCTTCTTATTTCTGCTAATGAATTTTTGATAAGGTCCATTTCATCGTAACCACATCAAGATATCCACACATGATCTAAAGACTTGAGAATTTAGAGACAAAAAGGATTATCAAAGTAATTTTTATAAGCATTTTTAAACTATCAATAATAATAAAACAAACAAACAAACTCCAAAGTAAGAGTGTTTTTTCTTATACATAATAAAAAATACAAAAAAGAAAGAAAAAGAAAGAAAGGGAAAAAAAAGAGAAGAAAAGAAAAAAAAAATTACAGGCAATTTACTCTCAGTCACACTTCACAGAAAAAAAAAAAAAGATCTGCAAACCACAAGGATAAATTTACAATTGGAACCCAACAACTTAGGTGATGTTAACTGGATGTGCATTTCTGTGTTTTTTCCAACTTTTTTTATTATCTTTATCTGAAACTTCAGCATATGAAATTATACTGAATCTCATAAAGACTGTGTTACAGAACAGGTTTAATTCAGTATAATTTCAAAATGATTTCTACATTTCTGTAAAGGCTCTTTCTCACATTAATGAACTACCAAAACCTTACATATTATGAATGGTATTTACCTTGGCTAATGAAACTAATTAACTTACACTATCAAAATGAACTAAAATGCACATGCATATCACCTGACCCAACCTCTTCTTGGCTTAGCAAAATTACTTTTGTTCTTTACTTAACAGACCTTTATTAAAGCAAAATCGGAAATTAACTGTATAAATGAAATTTTCAGCAAGCATTATGTACTACTAATCATACGTTGTCCATGCCATCAACATCTTAGTTAATCAAATCAATCTGCTAGACCTCCTTTCCCACTTTCATAGGTTGGTCCTGCAAAGCTTACTAAAATATAAAACTTATATATATAATTAAATCCATTAAATTTCATAAGAGATTAGAAATGCATGTCACACAAACTTATTGCACAGTACAAGAATGATGTTCCTGTGCCAATGCCACATCGTCTGCTGTCCATCTCAGTACCTTCAACCCAGTTAGTAACATTAATAGTATAGTTGGCAATGGCTCGGTCTGTAATGGTGCTGTAGAGGAGGGAGCAGCTATCACAGAGCACTGGATCTTCCGCCAAAGGGCCCGTCTCGTAAACACGACACTGTACACACTCCTTAAAGTCCAGGCACTTGAAGTCAGTGCCACACAGCTACAAGGAAATACAGGCATGCTATAAATAATAACTAGGTATAATAAAATAAATAAAGATAAAAGAAAGAAGTAAAAGAAAAAAAAAAGGGGGATACCTGTCAGCATTAGAACCTTCTAATGCTTCTGCTGCAACCACTGACAGGAAAGACACATCAGGAATTAATGAACAGCATGAAGTACAAGAGTCTTTGCCAATATCTGTTCCCGGTTTAGACCTGGCAAAAATTCTGTTACTTTAAGCTGTCACTAGTGGGGGAAAAAACCCTAAAACCTCACCTTCAGCTACTGGTACAGGAGTGGAGTTGAAAGTAGTACAGTTGGCTTTGCACTCCTCGATGTTGAATTCACCAGTTTCAAACACCTGGCACTGTACACACGCCTTGTATGCAATGCATTTGCCCTTGCATGTCTGGGGTGGATGCACATAACCAGGAGGAGAACCCAATTTCATTTAATACATTGGCATTGCAAATTGCGCATCAGGTTAATGTTGACATGTGGAGGGATTGAAGACAAGGAAACAGCAGGCAAGGATGCAGGCAGGCAAACACCCATGTAAAGGGGAAAAAAAAGGAACAATACAAAATTAGTTCATATGTTGCAACATTATACTTTTTTTTTATGTCACTGCATAAAGTAATTACTGCATATAAAATTAACATTTCTTTTAAATCATAGAGTCTATATGTTTTGAAGATGTAAAATAATTACAATATATGCTGCTTCGAGTGTACATGCAAATACACAGGATAAAAGTCTACCTAAATATGTAGATGAAAGTGCATGTGTGTGTTGGTGAAAATAATTAAAATGCTTGGACTGTAATCTAAATGTGTGAATATATTTCCCTATCTGCATGCAACTTGTTATCAATAAACGTCTACATGATGTGACACTAATAAATATTACTTAAAACATTAAGTACAAAATTGGAATAGCAGTTCAGCAAATTAACAAGATATATTATGTTTACAAAAATTTAAAGCAACTCAAGATAATGCTGAAGGGGATTATTAACAAAGATACAAATTATGCATTTAATAAAAAATTATACATTTGAATTAATTAACAAAATTTAGGCCTACACTGATCATTATTTTCTTTTACCAATTAAAACACACACAAACACCATCACCACTTCCCTTTAATGAAAGTGATGCAAAATGTAAAAATCAAGTCTAAACTACAAAGTACCACACACACACAAATGCCATTATGGTTATGATGTGACTGACATCCAGAGGTAATGGAGTAACTAAATGGTTTGCGCTCTGCATGGATGAAGCAAACTTGTGCAACTGGACTCCTTTACTGCAACCCAGAACATATTCCACTACCCTAGATTACTGTGAGCAACCTTCAAACCAAAGGAGATTACTACATACATTCCCTGTATGTAGCTGAATACAAATACCCTATAAGCTTAATGGAATTTATCTTACTTTTTTTTTTTTTTTTTTTACACTGATAAGCTCACAAAATCCAAGATTATGGTGGTGGAAATGCATGTATAATAAAAAAATGAAACTAATTGACAGTTATTGTGCATTTTAAACTGATATAGTACATGTTGATCTAAACATTTAACATCTATCTTTCAAGAAAAACATTTAAGTGTACAAAACTGAGGTCCATGCAGTTTGTAAGTTCAAATGAAATAATATCTCAGTGATTTTACTTTAGAAATAAACCACCCAGTGAAAATAAGGATAAAAAACACATAACGTGAGTACACATCTACCAACAAATAATAATTGCTTGTCATGATATATGTGCAAATTTTTGTGTATCTATTGGAAGGTTTCAAAATACCAAAGTAATGGGGTTCTCCACACAACTAGAGCAGGGATAAAATTTGCAAGAGTAAAATTAACCTGTACCTTTTTATCCTGGTTGAGTATGCTGTATAATATATATTTCATAATCATATATTTGTTACCCACAATTTTGTCTTTCATAAATTTTCTCAATGTAATATATAAATGAAATGTACTCCTGTTTTCCAGTTTTCTTGATTTATGTTCATCAAAACCTAATGAATGAAACTTATGATGCTAAATTGAACACTAAAACAAATGGTATGAAATATATTATAGTTATCTTGGAAATGAGAAACAACGCTTTGAAGATGTTACTTACAGAACAGAAGAAAAGAAAAGCAAGAGAATATATATATATGCTATTGCTATTTCGTAACAAACTGATCTGAGTACAGTAAAAAGACCTACTGTTGACCATATACTAATAACATAATGGACTTTTAAATACAGAGAAACACTTACCGGACAGTCTTCACACCATTTGCCTGAATATCTGCCATCAGCTGTCTCATAACACTTGCACTGGTTGCACTCACATTTTCCTTGGTTTGAACAAATGTCTCCAGTATCTGAAATGAACAAGCAAGCATGTTAAGGATGTAACATGACGTGCCTTCCTTACCCGTTTTATTTTCACTGACTCATAGGAACTGAATGGGATAGGAGGATGAGCGAGAGGGGAGAGAGGAGGCAACAATAAATATCTATTTCATTAGAGGGCAACAAGAATCTGGGTAGTGTGTGCCCATTTCAATCTGCCCATCTGACGTAGGAATGGTCAAATGAATTTTTCTGCAACATTATCCACCTGGCATAAAAGCACACTGAATATATGCTTACTCACCAGGGTTTACACAATTGCTTTCACTGTCTTCACAATTGCAGGCCTCTCCAGTCCAACCTGGCTTGCATTTGCATTCATTGCAGACACATTCACCATGATCAGGTCCTGAGCACAGTAGTCCATTGTGACGATCGCAAAGGAAGTTGGTGCACTCGCAGAACTTTCCACTTACAATCTGTTGATAGCAAATTATCTTTGTGCAATCAAATAAAACTAAAAACAATTTTGGTAGATACTTAATGTATTAGCAGTACTCTTTTAATACTGTCTTCCTTTACCTCTTTCATTTAACAGGCAATTAGACCACAAGAATGAAAGATGCTGTTTTGCGTCCGGGCAAAAATGAAAACTGATGACGCTATTTTTCATTATTCATTACTTATTTCTACAAGCATTTAAAGCCTATGATTTGCCGATTTTTGCTAAAAAACAGCATGACTATCAACAACCCTTGCCCTCCCCAACTATTCCCATGCACTTGTATGTAGGCCTAGACATCAGTCATATCAGTGCATGAAACTCCACTGGGCCTGATGCCAAATTGCCCCTTTGTAGCCAGATCGCTGGAGATGGCAGACAATATTGTAAGTGAGATGTTTATTGTGCAGATTTGACAATATGGATGCATGGGAGTAAGGCATTTAGTGTTATGCTTTTTATATATCTCATTTTTTTTTTTTGGGGGGGGGGGTGCAGGGGGAGAATGAAATTTATTGAAAATAATGATATATATTTTTTTGGGGGTGGGGTGGGATGGGGGGTGGACACAAAACAGGAACTTTGATTCTCATGGCTTTAGCTACGTAAGAGATTAAACTTTAACAATAGAGGATATAACACATATATTCCTATCATATGCTTTTCATCTTTTAAAAGCTTTATTATGAAAACTTAATCTCAAATTGATCTTAAAATCTTGTATGTGGATTAAAAAAAAAAAAAGAATTAAATTACAGCAAAAGATGTTCTACAGAATATATGCAAGAAAGCAAACCAGTCATACCTCTTCAGAATGATCTCTCTCATTACACTTGCACTCTCCACATGTGCAGGTGCCTCGGCCGCTGCATATAGCTGATGAATTAGTCTCTCGGCAGCTGGAGTCATCATAGTCACCTGTAGCCCAGGGGGTGTTTGAGCCACACTCACAGTTGCTGCCAAAGAAGCCATCGTCACACTTGCACACACCACACTGGTATGTGCCGTGGTAGTTGCACTGCTCAGCTCCAATTATATAGCCCTGCAGAGAAAACATCTTTGAATGTTGGATAATGAGGACACCCAAAAGATACAAAGATATATATATATATATATATATATATATATATATATATATATATATATATATATATATATATAAAAACAGTGCATGCATATCTGTTGTGAACCATTCAACCAAATAGCAATAAAATTCTAAAACGTATTCTTACAGGGTCACCAGGGCGCTCGCACTGACAATCACAGAGCATTGTAAGATCGATGGTGAGGTTCTCTCTCAAACCGACTGGATAAATGCCAATGAGCTGCCTCCAATCCTCACGTTTCTCAGGACACTTCTCAACCTGGCAAATAATGTCACAGATTCTCACTACAACTTAGTTGGGTATGAAAATTCAGCGAAAGTACATTTATACAAAATAAGGATAACAATAAAACCTTTAAACAAAACTCATTCAACATCAATTTCACTAACCAAACAAAGTAATGAAAAAGTTAGATTATTTTAACTTTATAAATCAAGGGCAAATTACTAGAAGTTGAAAAAAATAAACAAATAAATAATAATAATAATAATAATAATATAAACAAATTAATAAAAAATACATAAATAAATAAGCAAATGAACAAACATTGAGTAAAATTAAATACTTACAGTAACTTCAATTCTGAATTCCACCTGGTCGCCCACTTTCAGTCCCTGGCAGACTGAGGTTTCCTTCTCCGTGCCGTCCTTGCACTTTGAGAAGTAGCGGATGTTCACTGGGGCCGTGGCATTGTCCTTGAGCTCAACTTTGCTTGTAATTTTCTATGGGGAAAAAGTAAATAAATAAATAACTATCAATAAATTTACAATAATAATAACTATATACATACATGTGCATAAAATTATATATATAAATATATGTAATGTATAGTACATAATATAAATAAATAAATAAATAAATAAATAATATATATATATAATATATATATATATATATATATATATATATATATATATATATATATATATATATATATATATATATATATATATATATATATATATATATATATATATATATATATATATATATATATATATATATATATATATATATATATATATATATTATATATATATATATATATAATATATATATATATATATATATATATATATATATATATATATATATATATATATATATATATATATATATATATATATATATATATATATATATATATATATATATATATATATATATATATATATATATATATATATATATATATATATATATATATATATATATATATATATATATATATATATGTATGTATGTATGTATGTATGTATATACATATTACATATGTACATACATATATATATACACATACATACATACTATATGTACATACACACATACATATATACATACATAGCAGCTTCAAATTACTATGACTAATGGGCAACTCTCTGAAACCTCTACACAAAATTTACTTACATTATATTCAGCCTTGACCAGCTCAACCACATTGGAGGAATTCGCAGTGAGTTCTCCCTGTCCAGAACCTTCGATCATTTGGGAAAGACGGGAATAAACTGACGACTGCTCTTGCGTCACAGCAAAGATCAAGTTCATCTTGTGCTGTTTGGCGACTTGATTAATCTGAAAAAAGTCATAAGCATCATTTCACACATGGGAAGTGAAGATAAAATATTTCTATATTACAAAAAAATAAAAACAAAAATAAATCTACAACTCCATCTTTTTTTTCTGTATGAGTAAAATGAATTATCTTTCTAAATACAAAGAGCAGTTTCCAAAAATGACTAACCTGTGAGACTGAGGGATAATCCTGAAGGGTTGAGTGAGTGTACTCGCCCTTGTTATTGAGGTGGCACTCTCCGTCATTGGGTTTCACAATGCCTCCAAGCTGAAAATTTTGTAAATCATAAGCAAAGAGAATGAAGATAAAAAGAGAAATAGAAGAAATGATGGAAAGAAAGGACAGACAAGCAAAATAAAATAAGGGGTTTATAAGATAAATTCATGAGATAAAAAGAAAATAAAAAAATGAATCTCTCTCATTTATCAGTTATGGAGCAATTATAAGGTCATAAATATTACCATGTATTAATAATTTGCAACTCTTAATACCTTGCCATCTCCTGCATAATGAAATCCAGCATCTGTTGAGAAGACCAAAAGACGACGGGCTTCTGACCGCCACCTAATCTGGTCCTGACAAACAATGGCCTGCATAATGGCATCAAATCCACCCTCTGGAGCATCGAGGTTACCTGATACTGGTGCCTCCTGTACTTCATACTGTGACAAAAAATACATATATATAAAACAATGTTTCATTTACCATCAATCTTTATTTGTGTATTTCTATTATTAATATAATTTCTTTCTCAGATTAAAGCAGTCTGTAAATTCCTCATGATAAGCTAACAATGATTCAAAAGATGACCCCTCCAACATACAGCAAAGGCAGTGGCATTTGTGGTGAGTGGAAGGGCATTCCTGAAGCCATATGGAGCAGTACAGTTGGTGCATGGATGAAGGAGTCTGAAAGGAGGGGGTTCATTACTGAACAGAGTCAAACCAGTCCCTGATATATATGCATATACTCATTTTATTTTCAGATAAGACAGACAGACAAATAGTTTCCCATTTCCTCTTTTTGCTAAACTTACCTTTCAGGAACAGTGCTAACATAAGGCATTACAACTTTGTCCACAAAGGAACCGAAGCCAAGTTTGAAATTCCTTGTGATTTTTTGCATCTCGTCCGCTAATTGGACCCCCAGCTTGGAGAGTGATTCTTTGTCATCCTCCATAGACTTAGACAAGTCCATGAGATAATAAAGGTCAACAGGGTAATCCTCTGCTTGTCTGAAAGTGACCTGCATATTGTATGCTTCCTCTGTTGAAGAATATCATTGATTAGAGGTATTATAAGAAATATACGTATGACTACAGGTACATTTCAGAAATAAAGACATTGATCATATATATCAACAATAAAGTAAAATCCTCTACCAAGTTCCTAATAATACAAAATATTTCAAAGTAATCTGACTAAATATAGAGGGTAACAAAGAAGATCCTTCCATAATCACAATAGCTACATACATAATATAATAGGTAGTTTTAAGAAAGATCTACATATTTTCATATACAAGTTCAACCAAGGAGGACCTAATCCAACATTGGTATATCAATAGTTCCTAGACTACAGCAAGGCTCTAAGATACCTATGAGTAATACTGTAAACAATAAAACAAGTAAGAGAGAGAAAAACTTACGGACTCTCAGCCTCATCTGTACTCTTTGAGGTTTGATCTGCACGACAGCTTCTTCGGAACTGCTACCACTAATGCTCATACCACTGCCACTGGCACTTCCACCTGCCAATACACCTGCAGCCGTCAGGTTGTTGTTAACAATGTTTTCAAAGTAGTTGCCAGGTTCATCGATGTACAGACTGCCGCACTGTGCACGCCACTCAGTAGCTAGTTCGTCAGTTCGCTTGATGCATCTTGATAGTCCTTTGCCATTCTCATTTGTGAAATTCTATGGAACAGGGAAAACAAACTTCATGAATAAAAAGATAACATGAACTACAGTATTACAGCAGTTACAGTTCTAATATACAAATGCAATGAAACCATATGACAGATCCTTAGAAAAAAAAAAATATATATATATAACCAAATAATATAAATAAGCAATTATGTATATATGTATACATCAATCAAGCTAATAAAAATATATGCAAGTCCATATAAATCCTATTTGTATTTGTATACATAATACATTATACTTCATATATAGTATATCCTTTATTACAAATACATCAATATATATATATATATATATATACTTATATCTATCTATCTATACAGATACAGATAGATATAGACATAAAGATATCTGTCCATTACAGTTTGAATGCAGTAAACTAAGCAATGTGATACTTTCAGAAAATGGCTTCATTACAACAACAAACAATTAAGTAAGTATCAAACAGCTAGTTATATATATAAATATAATAAAAAGTCAAATACATACTTCTTCCTCATCAACGAACTATAAACAACTATAACATGTAAAACTGAAGAAGTATATAAGTAAACAACAAGTCTTATGCGAGTGCATACCCCTGGTTTCCCACACCACATGCAGTTGGGTGTCTGAATACATTGTGAACAAGTTGGTTTGTTCTTGCACTCCTGTGTAGCCCACGCGAGAGTGGCTACGACCAACAAGATGCTCAGGCCTAACCACCGCATCTTGTATGTTTATCTCACAGAATCTGGAATGAAAGATTTACTGTAAATATTGATTCTTTACAAATAAAAAATTAAACAGAATTGTTAAAAATGACACTTAAATAGAAAAGTTAAGCAAATGTATAGCAAAGTTACCCTAAAATCTTATTTCTAAATAAAGCACAAAAGTTGAACTACATATATCCTTAAAAAAGTAGCAAAGAACTTTCAAGGAGCTTTTGAGAACATTTCTATAAAAATGACATGACGTCATTTTGTGGTTTCCTGCTGCATGACACAATTCCAGCTCATGCCTAATTCAGATACAGGACACCGAGTGGACTCTCTCTCTCATTCTTCCAGTAACTTCACTTCATTTTTAAATATGAATTTCCATGCTCTCCATTCTCCTCTGTTCCTCCACACACACTCAAGAGAATGACGTCCTTTGATGTGAAACACTCGTCTCCCTTCCACTACCAATTTGTAACATGAAACTTCTGAGGTAATGCCATACCAGCTATAAAGTGACCAGTGTTCACTCTCTGGTCCCTTTCCCCAACCACAAGTTATCTAATAATTTTCTTAGCACATTTTTATTTTCAGGTCTAAACACGCCAATAATACATGGAACAAAAGATTGGCAAAAAAAAGAAAAAAGAAATGGGGGTTCACTGGAAAAAAAAGAGAAAAAAGAAAGAAAGAAAGAAAGAAAAAAAGAAAGAAAGAAAGATAGAAAGAAAGATAAAGAAAGAAAGAAAAAGAAAGAAAGAAAGAAAGAAAGAAAAAGAAAGAAAGAAAAATGTCATATGGTAAAATCATAATAACAAGTGTGTAAATATCAATAAAGTTCCACAATGTAATACTGATAAAAACTGAAGTACAATACCAATTACATAAACAATAACTATAATTTTGCATGCATGTTAACCTCAAGTCGCTGGGCATGGCAAGTACATACATGCCATTGCCCAGTGTGTGTGTTGAATTCAGTAACTGTTTTTAAATATAGATAGCTCCACAAGTATGGTCACTAATGAGCCAATTACATGAACTACCTGTCTCACCTGTTTACCCTTTTCGTTGATTTTCAATAATATCTATTAATATCTAATATTGCTGTTCGTAATGTCAGTAACAATATAGTAAATGTAATGGTTAAAACAAAAATAACATTTGTCAATATTGATAGCATTAGTAAAAAAGCGTTTTCCCGCCTTTTCAAGGAAAAGTGAGGTCGCACGATCTACTAATTGACTCCTTTGTGGCAAAATATTGGTAGAGCCATCAATGTACAAAAATATTTAACCAAGCATTGCCAAAGGGAATGCACCATTTCCCCTTCGACATTGGGTTAATATATATTGTTCTATGCATATACAACAAGATGGAATGCAGTTATAGCCAGCTCAAGTTTTGAAACTGTTAAAAAATGGATAAACAGGAAAATGCTGTCACACTATAATGATTGTAACATCACCTGACAATTTTAGTATCAACCTACATATAATTCCTGGAAATATAACAGCAAGTGAATTACAAAATGGGCACAGGAAAAGGTTGTCACACAAAACTGTATAAGATTGACTTTTAATGGCATCTACCTATGTTGAAATATCTTAACCAACACTCCATCTAATATCTAACTTCAGAAGATATCAAGTGACCCAGGTATACAAGACCATGCTACAGTTTCAAACTTTTTCACTAATAGCTTCATACCTACTTCAGTACAATAACAAGGGAAAGCCAAATATCATAAGTAATTTATACTAACCTGCAAAGCCAGCTTATCCAATAAAAAACAAAAATCAGTGGACAGACCAAAGGAATGTCCTAATACTACTCTGATGCTTCTCCACCTAGATATACTTTCCTCACATGAAATGCACTGAATATAAAGCTTTCTGTTCCCTATCACATCCTGTCTCTTATCAGATAGGCTACCCCACTTCCGGACCAGATTACGAGTATGAGTCTCCATTATTCCTTATCTAAGTACACAGATTATGTGTAACTGTAGCATCAATATATCTTACCTAAATGTAAATCTACTTATTAACAAGATAAACCTCTGAAAGACCTTCATTCAGCGATATAGAACAAGAAAAAGCCTAAATAAATCATCAAAGCTCTCAACAACTGCAGTTTTGCCATTCAATACCATTAATCAAAAACAGCTGTAAGGCCAAGGGTTACGTAGATACTTGATGAGTCATGCAAAACACTTTGCCTATCAGAAAAAGAACTTAACCATTAAGATAAGACCTTAGTTATCAGTCCACAAGAAGGAAGTAACAACTAACTAAACAAACTTATGCAACATGAACAGAGCAGCAATCCAGGACTCAACACAATTTCAAGGTAGACCATCAATCAATTTACAAACTATCAAAAAAGAATTAACACATTACACCATGACAAGGTAATCTGGCCAAAAGCATTGCCAAGGAAACCAACTCATTAGTGCAAAGTTACCTAAGAATCCACCAACTAAGCAAAACAAGACCTTAGGCAAGGCACCTGAAGGACTAATTTGAAATGCACAGCTTATCAGTGGCACCACACCCACTGCCTCAGGCCAGAGAAGGGTGGAGCTCATCAGGGTAAGTAGGTTTGGTGCCTGCTATGGAGATTACAAAGGGATCCTCTATCCCACCCTCCACCATTTAATAGGAGAAGGAGCAGGAGAGAAAAGGGAGAGAGAATGAGAGAAAAAGAGAGAGAGAAGCAAAGAAGAGAAGAGTATAGGAGAGAGAGAGAGAGAGAGAGAGAGAGAGAGAGAGAGAGAGAGAG